TAATTCCAAAACCCACTTTTTTTTGTAAGCATTCTCGCAGCTTATGTAGAATACACAGTATTTTGGACAACTTCATAGATCAATACATTTCTGAGCAATCAAAATATGTTCCATGATAAGTTTATCTCGAACGACGTCTAATTGAGTTCCACTTTTCACCTTGGAAAGCACTAGCTTCAAACTCAAGGCCTAGATCTTTACTATAATCTTTAATAAACTTGTTAGCAGGCTGATTAGACATGGTGCAAACTCTCCATATCAGTCATCTTAGGGATTAAAGCATTGTAAGTTGAATTTTTAAACCTGCTAACCACTTCTTCTCAAAACGTTCCTTTATAAAAAGGATAACATCTAGTGTGCCAATTTTTGTGCGTGTATACCACAATATTTATACACAACTAACTCTAAAATCAAACGAACACATTATATCTTTTATGTAAGCAAAGGAAATGCCTGTAATTTGGTGGATTTGGAATCTCTTTGGATGCCTCGATGCTCTTTCTCTTGCTAGCTTCGGGTTAGGTTAGAGATGTGTCTTGCTTGAGCTTTGACAGGATGGAGGATTTCTCTAAAACTTAGGGAGCCTAGAGTAAAGCTAGGATTTTTCTCTCTAGCTTACTTTCTTTCTCTAGGTTAATATCTCTCTCTAGGCTCTAGGACAAGATTTTTCTCTCTCTAGAGGGACTTTTTTTCTCTCTAGAATTCTCTACATCCTAAACCATACAAATAAACTCCAACCTTGACAAATGAACTCCCTCCTTTGAAAATGGGGTGATCACCATATAGGCACCTACCTCGAAATTTTGGCTAACAAGATTCTCATATACCTGTGTTTTGAGCCGTAGGAACCACATTAAGCCTAGTGATCTGTAGTACACTTAAGCCCTAGGGTGACTTTTTAAAATTTTCCCAAATTTGATCAAAACACTAGCCTAGATTATATGGGAGAATAAGAGCTTTTCAATGGTCTAAAAATCTCTCAAATTCGATAAATTGTGTAAAAGTTATGGCTTGTATAGATTTGCTCAAATAAAATTTCAAATGGGTTCCTCCAACGCAAGCCATATCATATCTTGCAAAGACCTGCACGATGGCCCACAAGATGCGACTTTTCGTGCAGCCCCAATGGGCCTAGAATGCTCCAGATGCTTTTGGAAAGTGCCCGGTAAGATTTTAAGGTCGGTTTTCTCTAACTAGATAAGCATTTTTTTTGGCCGAAGTTTCTCTAGGATAATTAGGTTAATTATTTAGATAATTAAAAACCAAAAATAAAAATTATCAGCGGAGTCCCTAGCCCTAGTCTATATAAATCCCTTTAAACCCTAGAAAAATCCTTAAAATAAAAAAATTCCTAATTTTTTTTTTGGAAAAAAACCCAGAAAAGAATCCCAAAAATTCCAAGGAATTCCTAAAAATACAAAAATCCCCAATACCTTAAGAAAAATGTCTTAGAAAATAAGGAAATAGCTTAGAAAAATAATTAGAAAACCTAGGTTAGAAAGCCTAATTTTTCCTACCATAAAAACCCTAGAATCCTTTAAGAATTATAAATCCAGATCTAGGAAATAAAACCCTAATTCCTACAATTTTCCAGTAGCCCATATGCTTCATAAATTAATTTTTTGGCAAAAAAAATTAAAAAAAAGAGGTGTGTGTAAGAGCGGTCTGATCCGAACCCGAAGCTCCAAGTTTAGGATCCTAAGTAAATAATCTATCATTTCTTTTGTTTTTTCATTAATTTCCTTCTTGTCATGATTTATTTCTTAAGATTTTCTACTTTTAACGATGTATTTGGTCTGAGAAATAAGCTGACGCTCCCAGTTGACTTAAAAAGATCTAATTAGATTTATATCAATTTTGGGTTCATAACTTAACGGGCCCCTCCTCTATATCGATCAATTAATTTTTATCTGTTTGGCACAAATGTGAGGGTTTATCATCGAAGACCTTCTCAGATCTGCATGTAAACAGACCCGCAAAGGGTTTCAAAGTACGGTCGATTATTAATTTCGTGGATGAAAAGTTGGTGGAAAATCAGCTTTGTGTCTTGTCTAAAAGTATAAGTGATAAAATCTGGGTCGACAAGTGCAAAATCATTCCAAGTCCATAGAAAGCTTCCTTCAACCCATGCTTATAAAATGGGGCTTTCGTTCTTCATCATTTGGGGCCAAAATAGGCGATCTGGTGTCGGCAAAAAAATTGAAGCTCTGCCAACCCTTGTCGTTTCACAACAAATTTCATGTAAAAACTCTGGGAATCAAGAGAGGTCCGAGCCCTTATGCATGTTTGGAATAAATAATAAGCAAAAATGTCCTTTTCCATACACTTTTTCTTCATTTTTTTGGTCGGGTTCTCGCTGGAATCTTGACGTTCTATCATTGGAAAAAGATGGGCACCAATCCTACGATCTCTTTGGCTCAAGAATTCCCCTTGGCGGTTGACCTACGGGCCATCGAACTTGCAAAATCAGTCATGTTTTAATTTACGGCACAAGTTCGCCTTAAAAAAAAAAAGAAAACCAGCCTTCGATCCGTGTCTTGATCGTAGCTTCTCGTAGACCATCGAAAATATCTTCAAGCTATGACTCCAACTCCATTCCCGGATCCTCATCTATCGGATTAAGAGAGATCACTGAAAACCAATAAGAGGTTGATGTTCATGAGATTTGCATTACATGGAGAACGACCTTCTTTTCCATAGATTTTTACCCACCAAGGCCCTTAACAGAAAGCTTATCCGAGCCTCGGATCGATCAACCTTAGATCTAGAAGTAATCGAGGGTTGAAATATTGCTATTGTGCCGCATTTACCGCCATTTTTGCTATATACAGGAATTAACTTCCTATCGTGTGCTACACCCTTGATCTTGATCTTTCAGAAAGTGGACCCAAATAACCTCCTTTTCACAGCCTCTAATTTCATCTATTACAATCATGGAAAATGTTTATATGAGACCCCAACAACATATAAGTTATATGTGATTGTTCATACCCCAATGTCATGCCACATACTGTTTCATTTTTCATTTTTTTTCTATAAAATATTTTTGGTTGAAATTTTTGGTGTCCCATCATTAAATTAGAGTGAAACTGAAAAGAAAATAAAACAAATATTTTCCATAAATGACTAAAATGCGTCCAAAGTTTTCAGGGGTATGCCCCAAATTTTGTTTTAAAATTATTTATATATTTAAAATAAAAAATAAAAAATTCTGAGCCGTACGATCAAAATCCAATGGTTAAAAACCAATTTGTGACATTGTGACTTAAGTCATCTTAGTCTTCTACTCAGATTTGATGGCTGAGACTAGAGGTCTTATATACTATATATATAAGGGTGGAGTCACGTTGAAAACCTTCCCTAGAATCATAGGCATGTAAGAGGTCGATTTCTGAGGGCCCCTTTGTAATTTTAGCCTTTTTACAATGCTCCACAGCTCATGTATAGTAGTTCATACATTATTTCGACTCTATCTTCTCTGTTCGGTATTATTTTGAACTAAAACTTGGGGGTATCTTTAGGATATTGGGAGCTATCTGGAGGATTAATTTGGGATTGATTTACATCCGTTTTCACCATAGTTAGTCATGTACCTTATGTGACATCTAATAGCTAAGAGTAATTGTGATCTCTTTATAACAAAGATAAATGTTGGCCCTTGATGTGTGATGGCTTAAGAATAATGGTAACCTCCTCATAACCACGATATGTTTCATAGTATATCATCCCTTATAAAGAACTAGGACCACTTAATATTCGATGTTCTTTTTCACCTAAAATCTTTATTCTTTATTCTCGTGGATATTACCGCTTAAAACTATCGGTACCCCCATTTTAGGAGTTTTTTAAGCCAAAAAAGAATATGATTTTGGCATACCTTGTAATTTGCTGTTTTTTTTATTAGTCATTTTTCCTTGCTACATTTCTTTTGATGATTTAATTATATATATATATATATATATATATATATATATATATTTGTAGGTAATTCAACTCGGAACAATTCTCCTACCTACCATAAGAAAGAACTTAAGACGTCACATTATAGCACTTTACCACCTTGACTACCTGGCGGTACGCTCAATCCTTAGATGATTTACAATATGGAAAATGTAGTGTCGCTACCATATTGAATTTCTACCCAAGTCTGCAATTTGAGCAGGAAAGTAGAAAATAGAGTATTGGATATGGAAGAATGTGACCACAAAAGTAAATCAAAACTCGTTTTTTTCATTAAAATCTTTATTTCAATATTTATTAGACATATGCTTATCTCAAAATCGTAATGTACCCTTGCCGAAATCAAATAGATATTTAATTTTTCTAATTTTCAAGAACTTTTCCAATAAATTTACTTTATACATCACCTGACCTCTCTATACTAAGAGGAGTAACCTAAAACTCATCCCTAATGGTAAGAAATTCAATAAAATTTCACAATTATTGATCACCTAATGCCATTGGGTGAGGAAGTTATGTATCTCTTTTTGAAAGGGAAATGCATATTATGAAACTATTTAATTTTGAGAAACAGGGTTACAACCATCATTGACGGCTAGATTCAAAATCGGGTCATTGAGGATATGTCATTGTTTAGGCACAAAATCTAAATAATATTTCTTGAATGTTGAGACGCACTTTTATCTAGTGAATTTCACATCCAATTGTAACCTTCTTGTACCAAAGATAATGGTCTCATAAGGTAATCCTTTTAAAAAGTGAGATATACACAAAATCCAATGGCAGTTTTGTTGAGTCATTGATCCCTTTGAGCCTCAAACTTAGCATGAAAAAGAGGCACCAATCAAGAAAGAAAAATAGTGAAGTCATGAATGGACTCCTTGACTTACACCATGACAACGCGATTAGCAAGCAAAACAAAGTAAACAAAAACAATATGAAGGTTTGGCTAATATCAGTACATGTAAAATGCAATAGTTTTTTCTCCAGCATTTGAACTAAAAATAATAAACTCAATCAATAAAGAAGATTATGATACCTTAGTCTATACGCAGGGACTCCAAGGGGGTCTTTCCCCTAATCACACTACTTTGTTGCATCCTCATATAGTCTGCATAAACCACAGGCCTATACTTGGCCTTCTCACCGCCACTGATGAGCATAGTTGCAGGGGCCACAATGGTGCTCAACTCAGGGCCGTGGCCCACTGCAATGGAGATTCTCGTTCTTTTCTCATTTACCACAGCTCGATGTTCCACGCTTTTGTACCTCCCATTGCTTAATATCTAAAACTCTCAGAAAAAGGATACCAATATGCATGAGTTAGTTGAATTGATACATGTTGATCTTGTCAAAAAAAGAAAAAGAAAAAAAGAAACATAAAGGTTTTTTTAAGTATGGGTGGGGTAAAATTACGAAATTTACCCTTTGGTCAAATTTTTTAAATATGGCTGGGGTAAAATTACGAAATTTACCTTTTGGTCCATAAATTCGATAATTTTACTGTGAGATCCTACTCCTTTCATTTTAATTTTAATTTTTTTTTTTCAAATTTTCCCAATGCTCAAGCCACTTGTTTTCTTCATTTTATTTATTTATTTATTTATTTATGTAGCAGTTCGATGCCTAAACTATTGACTCACCCTGTTAGATAATTGCAATAACTGCAACATCAGACCATACTACATTTTTTGCTCATCCTTCTTTATAGGGCAGTTCGATCTCTGATGTTGAAAACATGAGACTTACTTTTTTAGAGCTTTTTATATTTTAGCGGTTCGAGATTTCGAACATCGAACCACAGATACTACGAAAAATAAAATAAAAAGTAGTTTGATTTTCAAAAAGTTCACACCACTAAAATCTAGAAAACTATTAGGGCATGTTTGATAAGTTGGAGTTTTTGAATGCGCGAGTTAAATGTCCCACTTTCATGTTAGATATTATGGTGTAGAAGTTGTAAGTGGAAGGCCTGCTTTCCACGCAATTATTTTTTAATGTTAAAATGAGTTCAATTGTGGAAGACATCCATTCCATAAAAAATGATAGAAGAGCAGTCTTCCATAATTTGTGGGAGAGTCGCTTCCACTCCCAAACACTCCCATGTGTCAAAGGCACCCTTAAAAAGGGTGAGCAGTCCAATGTATGTAACATCGGATTATCTCATAGACAACGTCGGGCAAAACATACAAGGCAATCCGATGGTATAGTTTTTGGACCACCCTAAAAATGGGGTTATTCGATATATTAAACATCAAATCGCCTCGCAAATGTCAAAAAGTCACTAAAAGACAAAAAAGAAAGCACTTCGACATTTAAAACATTGAATCGGGGATATAATTAGAAAAAATTAACAAAAATAGGAAGAGTAGGATCTCATGGTTACATTTATATACTAAAGGGTAAATCGATGGCTTTGGTATGCTCCCCCACAAAAACCGAGTTGAGTTAGGAGAAATATACCATTTTCCCTTAATCAACACGAGTGTTTGGAAGAGAAGGGAAAAAACTAATGGGATTGTATACCATGAGACTGATAATGCTTAGAAAACTGTCGTGTGCATGATACATATACAAGTGGTTGTTATATGTGACAGGCATATATACCCCAAGAAAAATATTCCGGAAATATATAAAGATCAAATTTGTATATATCTCAAAGGATCTCAAAGAATATATTTCTATATCATTTAACAGAGACCATTTATCTTTCTTATAAAGAGTTTACAATTAGTCCTAGTCATTAATGTCAAATTGGGTGATTTATTTATCTTTCTTATAAAGAGTTTACAATTAGTCCTAGTCATTAATGTCAAATTGGGTGATTTATTTATCTTTCTTATAAAGAGTTTACAATTAGTCCTAGTCATTAATGTCAAATTGGATGGTTTCCAGTGTTTTATGAAGTTCAAGAATTTTTTTTTGAACTTTGAATCTAGTCAATGATATGCTCACAACCATCCGATTTGAAATCTAAAGGATAAAAGTGATTGATAACTTCTTATAATAAAAATAAAAGGTTTGTTTGTATACTTTTCCAAAACTAATAGACATGTATACAATGAGACCATTTACCTTTTTATACAAGTCACAATCACTATCGACCGAAGATGTAAAATTGGATGGCCTAAGGTATGTTGTTGACTATGGACAAAATTCAAAATATAGTTTCTCGAACTATGCAACACACTTTAGGCTGCCGGATTTCACATCCAATTACTATAGGTTAGTGTGATCTCCTTTTACCAAAAGTGATTGGTTTTATAGTATACACTTCCCAACTAATGTCTTTAGTCAAAACGACTTAGAAACTTATGAAAGGGATATAAATATCCCAAACGACATTAGGTGTTTTACTTTTTAATTTTCGTTTCATCATGTTACCTCCTCAATGAATATCTTCAGAGATGCTCGAATTGTTTTTGTTCAGTATTGTGGAAACGTTTTACAAATACCTCCTCAATGAATATCTTTGCTCAATTGCTTTTGTTCAGTATTGTGGGAACCTTGGACAAATAAGGCTTAGTAATTTGACTGTGCCCTAAACAAGTACGGGTACTCTGGTCATTTAGTTGATGCCTTCTAGATATGTAAAATTAGTAAATGCTCTTTCTTGTTTAGGGTTCCCTACCCTAACTACGGACAATTCGGGTGATGAGATATTTTTGGGGAGGCAGCTTGGTGAAATGAAACTAATCCCCTTAATGAGTTTAACCCAATTAACTATTTAGCAAGGATTATGGTCCCTTTTATTATACATTACCAAGAAAAAATACTAGTTCAGATTGGAATAGCCCTGATCAGAAGAGACACCGTGAGTGATCCATTCATTGGGAGCCCTATAACTACTTTCCACTGGTTTTATACTTTTGTTAATTTCTTGTCCATAAAATGATTCAACTTAAAAATTGCGGTTTGGAGGAGAGTCCGTCCCTACTGATTCAAGATCCGATTCCATACTTTAGAGCTGTAATCAAACCAATTTTCATCATCTAAAGTGAATTGTCCTTCATGCCTGCATTTTGGCTAGGCGCAACCCCCAAACATGGGAGGGATTTGTTTTCCCACCCATATTCTTGGAGGGGAATAGCGAATCTACCACGGCAAATGAAAAAAAAAAAATAAAAACTACAAATGGAAAAAAAAAAAAAAAAGACGCATAAAATAATCCCCATCATAAGTATACATATATTCAAGCATATTTTGAATCTAAAAGACAGCATATTTTGAATCTAAAAGACTGGATGATGATGGTGATAATCAATTTATCAAGGAAACTTACCTCCAAATAATCCCCCACATTGATGATAAATGTGTCCTCCATGTGTCGAATTGGAACCCACGTATCCTCGTGTCTCACTTGGAGGCCATCCACGTCATTTTGCATTAGCACAGTTAATCCTCCATGATCCGAATGGGCTGAAAGCCCTAGGGTTTGATGTGGTTGTGGACATGGTGGATAGTAATTTGAAGCGATTATTTGGCACCCCTCCCCTAGAGAGGCTTCTATGTATGATTCCTCTAGCCCTAGGCTTTGTGATATTGCTCCAGCTAACCTTAATGCTAAATGCCACACGGCCTCTAAATATTCTTTTGCCACTTTCCTGTGTCAAGACTAGATATGACCTAACAGAACTCATGTGCCAGTTACTTCTACATGGCAATTGAAACTACTCTAGAATAAATCCAAGTATAAAGATTGATCAATAAGAATGTTCAAAAAATAAAGATTGATCACTAAGAAAATAAGCGCCGCGTTTGATGGGTGACTCAGGGATAGTAAGAAAGCAAGTTGAAAAGCACTTTCTCTGGATAACATGAGATCCATCTGTTTTGGGGGAAGGATAATCACTTTCTCAAGACACTACTAATGTAAAATAGGGGGAAGGATAATCACTTTCTCGAGACAATACAAATGTAAAATACAAAATGGGGCAATTTTGTGCGAAAATTACCTGAAAGGTAGGTCAATCCGTACTTTTTTATTTTTTTAAAATTACCTCTCAGTCCGAAGATAAGCTTTTTTTTAATTTTTCGTTAGTAAGGCAATGCCTCAACCTTTAAAGGGGCAGTGCCTAGGTGGTCCTTTTGTTCTTGGGGAAGAATAATCACTTTCTCAAGACATTACTAAACAAAAGTCAATTTTAAAAATAAAAAATATCTTTCGTTCGAGTTTTTTTTTAGACAGCCGATTTGTGGATTTTGGTTTTACCACCACCTTTTTACATCCATCTCTAAAACGAATGACGAGTGCATCAGAGGACGGGCATGTAGAACTGCATCCCGCTACACACACGCTACCCTTTTCAATTCTTAAATAGTTTATTCCCACCAACCAAACATGACATTGAGTTTTTGATCTACAACGAAAATCAACTTACTTGTAGCCAGGCGGCATATGCGGCCAAAGATGAACGGTATTGTGGACGGGGTGGCCAAAATGTCTGAAATAATCTCTCCAATGTAAGGCATGTGGGGCTGAGCTATTCATACTGGTGCCATAACGCACAGGATCCATCACATTATCAGATGCATACTTCATCTTCTCATCCCATGGGAGAGAGAAGAAGGCCTCTACACTCTTCAGCATCTCTTGCATTAGAGAAACATTGACGCCATGGTTTATGACCTGTTGTCACAATGTGCATAAAAACGCCAATCAAGCTAATATATTCTTGTATAGAAACGCCTCTACTTTGTTACTACTTTAAAAAGAAGAGTGATTTATGTACAGACCCTAAATTGTTTTTCTAAAACACGAAATGCTTTGTTTGCAGGTCGAGATTACGAAGAAGGTCGGGCAACCACTTTGTTTTTTTTTTTTTTTAAATTGCCTCTCATTCTAAAAAAGATGAAATCCTCACACTAATGGGCAATTTTGAAAAAAAAAAAATGGTTGCCTGTAAATTTCTTTGTACTTTTTACCTATAAATGAAGTATTTCGTATTTTAGATAAAATTTAGGGTCTACACGTAAATTACTCTAATTTTTAATTTTTCTTCTTAACAAGTGCTTGAACCTGTCAGCAAATTCTCACTATTTTTGTAACCAAAATTGGGGTGATATGGAAATGCAACCTTCATTTGTGCTTAGAAAAAGAAAATGAATGGAATGGACAGCGATAAAGCTTGAAGTTTGAGGACAATTGAAGATCTAGGCACTCTAATACATCATAGCGTATACAAACGGTTCACAAAAAGAATGGGAAATTTATCAAAATGCATTAAAGACATTTACTATTAACATCTTATTCATATATTTTGATTTCATTTCAAAGTTTCTATCAAAATATACATGATTTTGAGTTGAAATAGTAAAAAAAACAGTAGAACCTTAAATAGTTGAAACGGACCGTATATTTTGACAAAATTTCCTTAAAAAAAAAAACCCGAAATAAAACCGACTGAGTAAACAAGAGAAGACAAAAACTGTAGCTCTATTGGGAGTCGATTAAAAATCTTACACGAAAGAATCCCCATTGAGAGCATGCTAAACCAATGTCCCGAACAGTGTGCAACCTACAGTCAGGATGCTCGTACAGGCAGGACATGTCTATTACGGGAATGGGGGCCTCCAAAACGGGCAACGAGCAACGGGGAAGAGGCAGAATATAATTTGGGGGAAGTGCCTGTAAAGCCCCCCAATTATCAACCAAGTTCTTCACGCCTTTCTTCAAATCTAAATCAGGTGCCTCAGGAGTGTTCGCCATGATGGACGAGCATAAGGAAGGTGCACCAAGTGTCGAAGGTTTATATATTTTACAAAACAGCGATCGTGTACCCCATTGTGCTCCACGTAAGTCCCCATGCAGCCAACATAGGGATCCACGCTAGGTTATGCCATTTGGAGCTTCCGCGGGTGCACCATGCTTTTAAGCTAAAAGATATTCTACTCCTTCGGTACTATGCTGTCTAGTTACTACTTCAGATAAAACACATACGTACGATTAATTCTAGGCCCCCAAGTTTCAGAGATATAACCTTTTTAACATGTAGATTAACCTCAATAAATTTTTCTTTTTTCTAATTGCAAACTCTAAACACTATATTTCAAAACAGGAATTATCCATAAGATCTAAGTGTTAGAGAACTTAAATTTTAATTTTTTTTTTAAAGAATATCTAGTAATTCTTTAGTGGTTCACAAAATTTCACATCATAAAAAGTCCTCCCAAATAGGTCATGTGACTGAGGTAATAAAACTGAATTATTCTCCTGAAGGAGCATGGTACACGCGCTCTACTTTTAACTAGATCTATTCCATTTACTTCCTCAATAGGTAAAGCACTTGGTTTTTGTTTAAGGTGGTTCAAAAATTAGACTTTAAATGTTGTTTAAATTTTCAATTTTTTTATGTTTTATCGAGGTTAAAAATACACTTCAAACAACTCAACTACTAAGTTTTTTTTCCATATGCTTTAGCGAATAGTAACCCAACTTTTGAACTCACCAGGTACTTAGAGGGTAGTTGGCAGCTGGAATTTTCAGTGCTAGACTCCAAAATACTTCCCATTTACTGTAGCAATTTCCAGTTTGGCAACTAGAAATGTTATGATGGAAAGAAATTCATATTTCTCAAAAATAACAAATGTAGTCTCCCTGTACCCCTAATTGAGTACTAAATTTCTCAAAAATTGGAAAATATAGATTTCCTATTTTTTGGACCATTTTTTTATTTTGAAAATGTGGAACATTTATTTATTTATTTATTTTTCATTATGGGATCAAAATAAAATTGGAGGATACGTGCAGCTCATTGGGGGGCGTTGGCGTATATAAATAATATGAAAAATATTTTAAACAAATTAAATTGAGAAAAATACTGCATAAAGTTTCGAGGGCAATTTTAGTCATTTATTTTATAAAAATATTTTAATATTTTATAGGTGTGTGAAATTTATAACTATAAATTCCCAATATGCATATAAAAATATTAAATTTGTAATAGTCCTACATGTTCTAGACCATCCAATCAAAATTTGATAGGAGAGATCGACACTACCAACCATTATATTTTTTTTTTTCTTATAATGTTTTTCATATTTTTTACATTTTTTGAGAGTTTCAATAGTTATATATTTTTTCTTATAATGTTTTTCATAATTTTTTACTGAGAAGCAAAGATGCCATAATGATTCTCCCAATCTAATATATAGAAAAAATAACAAATTAATAACTTAGACAAACTCTTAGCCTGTCCTGAGGGTATTTTGTTCATTCTCTTTTCTCCAATCTTGTTTAATATTTTTATAGGTGGATGCTCCAAAATTTTTGCTCAAAAAAGTAAACCTCACTTCAAATCTGAATGGAAATTATAGTTCCGCTGTTAAAAAGCCTTCAGATTGGTCATCTTGATATCGTCCACTATGGATGTGAAATGAAAACAGAGTTCAAGCCCTGAAAATAGCATATCATGTAATGCATACGTTGACTGTCCATATAAGTGATCATAGATATCAAAATTGGATATTCTCAATTTTAGTTCGAGCTTCTCATTGTCAAAGCCCCTTGGTCCTTTTTATTTTATTTTTTGTCCTTTTCTTGAAACAGTTTGGAAGTTAAACTTTTGATTAGAGATAACAATTTTAAGAAATTGGGCCACAACATAAAATATTCGAAATATAGATGGTCGTTTAATTTTTTTGTAAATTTTGGGTCCATATGTATCAGAGTTTAACATTTTTTACTTTTCTTTTTTTATATGGCAAGATAGAAGATAACAAAGATAAAATTCTATTATCATATTGTTGGGTTTATGTGGCCTGTAAAGGCTTTAAGAATGCGCATTGAAATACTTTTATTATAATGAAACATAAACTTAGTGGGAGTGTGGTCCCTCGAGGATCATACTAAGCGAATAATGTTTGCTTATATCGGACTGTGCTTATCGATTTAGGCCAGTCGGTATTGAAAACTCAAGGTACCTGGGCATAAAGAATTAACCGAGGAGGGTCTTGGGTTAGCCCTTGATGAGGTCGTAGCATATGCCTAGATAAGTGAGTCGAGGAACTGTGTTACTGTTGTGTGTGATGGTAGATCTACTAAGACGGGGGCCAAAACCTCATCCATATTCCATCACATGGCATGCGTATTAATAGATAGTTCGAGAAAGCCATATATCCGCCTTTGGGTGAAGCATATGCATGTGCGAGAGATGCCCTTATGCGCCATAAAGCTGTGATTGCATCAGGTCGTGGTGACCTTGACTCGTCTCTAGGGGATGAACTGTAATCCACATACTGGGATTGCGACCCCTTGATTCATTGGCATGACTTTGGTGACCCAGCTAATGAGCCCCTGCTTGGATTGTGGGTCATGGGAAACACTGAGTTAGTTCGATAAAGCTAGTGTGGTCTGTAGTCCACAGTTGAAAGTGGAGTACCCCATTTTTATAGATTGAATTCCTAAAACCATATGGATCATTTTCCCATCATATTAATTTAATTGTATTCATTTTATTATTGAAATGATTTTAGTTTTATTAGTTAAATTTTTATGAATCTCTCAATATTTTATTTATGATTTTTGGACTAATAAAAATACAGTTATTGATTTTATAAAGTCATAAAAAATTCAAATATATATATTAATTTGTTTTTTTAATAAAATTTCATGGGGGCCCATAGTGGCCATGGGCCCATCGTGTGGCATGTGGGTGGGGCCCACATGTGCCACATAGGGGTGGCACACCCCACCCCTTTGGATTCCTTTTGATAGCTTTGTGTTCAAGTTATTTAAATATGGAAAGTGTATCTTATGACATATGGTCAATTTGTAATATAGTAAATATTGACCATATCTTATCTATTTAAGATAGTAAATATTAACTTGATATTTCTTGATATATTTTTATGGAATATATGAGATGGATAATGCAATTTTATGGAATGCATGATATCTTTAATGACTTTAATTTATTTAAATATATTGATGGAAAAATAGTTTAAAGAAAGAGGGGATAATGGTTAATGCACCTTCCATAATGTTGATGGCATATTTATAGAATGGATGGCTCAATTCTCTCACCTCACAAGTCACCTTGATCAACAGTCCATATTCAATATCAAGAAAGAGGCAAACTATGGGAAACCCTAAAAAAACCCAAGACTTAAATTTTACTATAAATAGGAGTGATCTCCCCTCATCTCTACACACCTCTCTCCTCCCATAACATACCTCTCTCTCTCCCATAACCTCTCTCTCTCCTCCCTAGGGGCCATGCTCCTCTCTCTCCTCCTTAGGGGCCACGCCCCTCTCTTTCCTCTCTGATTTTCTCTCTCTAATTCTCTCTCCTAGAAACCCTAGGGGGCACGCTCCAACCTTAGAGACTCTCCCTCTCTCTCATAACCTAATTTAAGGGTTAGGAAAATTAGGGTTTGAGCTTAATTATTTTGAAGTTAGGGTTTTATAAAGATTTAAATGTGGTTATCTAAGTTGGCCGAAATTAGCTTTCCCGGTTCGAGATTGAAGCTAGACCGCTGATCCCGCGCCATTGGATATGGTGACTCGATGTGGGGTGTAATAAGTCCGGTTGAGGTAATCTTCGGTATCTTCTTTTTTACTTACTTTGCTCTTTTATTTTATATTCTCAAGCATAGTGTTAAATTGTAAAAATGGCATCAAGTGGTTGAGTTTTATTTTATTGTTGTCCTACTTTATTTTGAAATATTTATTGATTGGAAAAAGACCATCTGTAAGTGATCCTTTTGGCAAAATACAAAAGGGGTGATTACTATCATTAAAAAAAAAAATGTATTCCCCAGTAAAAAGATCACATAGGTCTAACTTTCATTTGTATCAGAGCTAGTTTTACTTGATGCCATTAAGAGTCTTTTTTTTATTTTTTCTTTACTTGATAATAGAAAAGTATGGCGGCTCGTACTTTCTTCTCAGAGATTCTGAAAGCCGAAAAGTTTGATGGGACAAACTTTGCTTCATGGAAAAGAAAAATCAAATTTGTGCTCTACGAGGAAAACTTGCATGAGGTACTCTTTGAGGACCGACCTCGTCGTTCCCTCGTACGCCAATTGGAAGAGGAGGAATCTGAGATGCAAACACAATATTTTGTAAGATTTATGATAAACTTGAGAGAGAGTATACTGAACCTTCTCTTATGAAGCAAACCATGGCTATGAGGAGGTATAATGAGTTAAAGATGGCAGAAGGTACCAAGTTTGTAGATCATGTGCACGTCTTTCGCGCACTAGTTAGAGAGCTAAAAGACACAGGCATGAAACCCAATGAATCTATGCAAGTGATTCATCTTATGAATTCACTTCCGAATTCATGGGAGACTTTTATATCTTCCCTCTGTGCTAGAAGAAAGGCACCAAAAGTGGAGGAGCTCAGCACGACAATCAAATCAGAAGAAGAGATGAGGAATTCAAAGAAAATTCTAAGGGATGCTGTGCATATGGTAAAATCTCCACCCTCTTTTAAATTTAAGAAAGGATAAGAAAGAAATTATTTTGGGAAGAAAAGAGGTTTCAAAAGGAGAGATTTTGGAAAGAGGGGAGCAACGAGAGAGACTCAAACTTTCTTTATTTACAAGAAGGTGGGCCACATAGTCAATAGTTGTCGGTTCAACAAATCTGGAGGGACCAATAAGGAATTAGCATGTGTGGTTTTTGAGTCTATGCTGGCTGACCCCAAGAGAGCATCTTGGTGTCTTGACTTGGGGGCTACGATCCATGTCACAAACACCAAGGATG